TGCGAGGCTGTGAGCCTTTCTCTTGAGCAGCGTCCTTCCTAGTTCAATAATTTCGAGAGTTTCTCGAAAAGTGTCTTCGTGTCCTTCCTGGTACAATGATTTCAAGAGTTTCACGAAAAGTATCTTCGTGTCTTTCCTCATAAACTTCTTTGCCATTTTCCGATCACCTAGGATTTAAAGCACCTCTATATTTCGAGTGCCTCCGAATTCATTTTTCGGTACTAAACACTTGTATATAATTTATTTGGATCGCATGAAGAATAAAATGAACCATTTTTTTTATATACAAGATGCACAAATTATATTCTCTCATCCTTTTTATATTTTTTAGTAGGACAAATACACTCATGTCTACATTATATTAAATTGTGTTGTTAAAATTAGATTGAATTGGTCAGTTTGACTAGTCGAACCGAGAATTGATCAATTTGACTAATTAAATCAAGAATTAGTTAGTTTACTAATATGAAAGAATTATAAAATTGGTGTATGAAAGAATCTGTAAAAAAATCAGATGAACCAATTTAAAAATTAGTCTAGAAAATCAAATTAAACATGTATTTTTTAACAAATGTTTTTTCTAAATATTTTAAAAATATTTTTTTATGATAAATAAATAAAATATTTAATAAAAATTATAAATTAAAATAAATTATGTTTTTATTTTTTATTTTTAATAATTTGTTTTATTAAGATAAAATTTAGTCATTTATATTAATTCATAATTTTTAAATCATGATATTTTATATTTCATATTATATTAATTTAAGATTTTTCAACTCTAAATATACAAGTAATATTATTTTATGTATTATTTAAATATTATTATTTTATTAATATTGATTCATCCATAATTAAATCATTAAACTTTAAATGAGTGTCTTGATTGATTCGATGACTGATCCGATTTTAAAAATATTATTATATATTAAAAGAAAAGGATATTATTTTTATAAGCAAATACTCATAAGTAACTTTAGAATAATAAATAAAAATTAACAGAAAAGATAAAGAAGTGCTAAGAAGGTGAGTTTAAAAGTTAAAAACAAATAAGAGATAGAACGATACATATAAAAATAGAAATTAAAAGCAGAATTTCTTTTAGAATTAATCACCTATACACTGTCAGTGTAAAATTTTTTTACATTAGCAACCAATCAGATATGTTAATAGTGTCATGTCATTTGCTCATTTAATTAAATTAAAATAAAAAATGCACTATTAGTATATCTGATTGGTTGTCAGTATAAAAAAACTTTACACTGACAATGTATAGATGATTAACTCTTTCTTTTATAATAAGTATAGGTTGAATAATATATATTATAATTTTGTATATCTTAGGATTATAATTTTTCATCCATTTGAACCGGTGAAATCAATTGTTTCTATTTAACTTTTTGCTGGTAAACTAACTAAATGAATAAATCAGTATTTGGTTGAACGCATTGAAAAATGATAGCAAATTAAGTTGAGAGATATAAATAGGACAACTTAAGTCATATAATAGTATTAGTGCGTTTGGTTTATAGAAAAAAGTTAACATTATTCAATGTTATTTCTCCATTTTGTGTTTGAAAAAGTGTGAAATCTCGTTCATAACGTAGCAAACCGGTTCTTAAACAAACACTATATAGAACAAATTTAAACCGAAACAACTTTGCAGTTATTACGACCTAACATAATCAAGGAAATTAAGCATATATATCTTAAGGACAACTGAAGTTAATTACTACTTATTAGTTTCCACCAGCAGCTGCGCAATTCTAGTCATGAATTAGGGTCCTTGAATTGAAATAAACATAGTACACATGCAGGTTTGCATCATGCCTTCAAACATGGGAGAATCTAGTCACTAGGTAACATGCAAGTCCCAGAAACATTGTTTGTTCTTTCTTTGATTTTAGAATTTGGGGTGATGCATCATGCATGCAGATGCGGAACAAATGGCTGCTTTGCAATATTTAAACCAAAATAAATTAATTCATCAGTGCAATAATCAAAGCTTGGCCTTGCAGCCTGTTTGAAATTATAGTTCACTTCGATTAAACCCATCTAAGACAAGCTGTCCTGTGAATTAAATAGAACATGCATATATATATAAATATAAAGTCAATATTTTGTTTTGGTAGGTATAAGGTTTGTCTCAGTCGACTTAATACTTCTAAAATGATTTTTATTAATGTTAAAGTAATGTTTCATCATTAAAAATCATATTTTATAAATATAAATTAGTTTTTAATTATAATTTTATAATACCTTGGCAACCATATCCATTAGAAAAATAGAATATCCTAGTGGTGAAAAGGGCCTATAAATACTCATAACATAGATCGGAAAAGAAAAAAAACAGAAGCGAAAGAGGAGAAAGGGATCTCTTGGCTGGTTAAAGAGAAGGACTCAGTTTGTAAGACTTTTCTCATCCTTTTTCTTGCTTAATGTTGTCCATTATGTTAAATAGTTTGAACTACATATTTCTCGCAACAAGAAATAAATATCTCAAAATGTTGTTTCACAACACAAGTGATGATTAATATTATATTAAATGAAATATCAAAGATTAAAAAAAAAAAACCATGATTTTACATTCATTTTGAGGTCATATTGCTGCTATCTTTGGACTCGTCTCTTTTATATTGGAATATCAGGATCAGAAATTCAATAATTTTTTTTTATAGAAGGACATTAAATATATCGAAATATAATAATTGTTAACCTAATAAACCAAATAATGAAAATTCAATAAAAAAAATCTCTATTTTAATATGTTTCGAGGCATAACCAATATGTTTTTTATTTTATTTTTTTATATCTACAATAAAAATAATAAAGTTCAAACCTAAGATCATGTATACATTAGTTTAAATAGTAATTAATGTGTTAAAAATATGAAATATATTAAAACTAAAATAAAATATAATATCCATTTATTCATGTGTATTTATTTATCATCCCCGAATCTTCCTTGAGTGGAAATTGACCACATAGTGATTGTATTTTAGCAACATTTTTTATTTTCTAATTAAAAATAAATATGTATATTTTGTTGGTGTTTTTAGTTAACCAATAAAGAAACATACTAATGAACTAAAATATAACAAAAAATTGAATAATTTTTTTTCTTGCAAGGATTTTTTTTTCTTTTCTGATTCTTCTTTGCACATCTCATTATATGAATGAACTATGACATTTAAAATATAACAAAATAAATCACTCAAATCCATATATAAGTATGAGATAATCAATCTCTTAATATAATTCTCACTGTATAAAAATTAAATTATCTATCTTATTTTTATGAATTATTCTTTTGACAAGAGTGTTTTTATGATTTTTTTTCTTTGATTTTTTAGAGTTTTTTTTTCTTTCCTTGTATTAAACGATAACATAAAATCTTTTTACATACTACACAAATCCTCCCACCCCTGACCTAGTGGTTTTGTGTTTTTAGGAATCTGTTTTAACATCTTATCTCTCTCAATATATTATTTTTATTTTTAAATTGTATTTAATATTTTATTAAAATTTTTCAGTAATTAAAAGTATTTTTGTATAACAAAATAAATTATTTATCATAAATATAAAATATTTTATATATTTAAAAACATTTTGTTTATTATAATTTACATTATAATATAAATTATATATTCAAAAAATATTTATTTATTATATTTTTTAAATTTATAAAATAAGCAATTATTGAGTGCATTGTACTAAAATAGTATTGATGAATAAAAGATCATATTAAAATTTAAAGTATGCAACTGTTTTGTTTTGCATAAAAATGTTTAACACACGAGAGCTAAATCTGTCCATGCAAAAATAAATTTTCTTTAATCAATCCATCTTTCTTATTTTCTATCCGATCATTTTTATTTGCTAAAATAATATTGATTAATACAAAAGAGCATATTAAAATTTAAAGTTTAAAGTATGCAACTATTTTGTTTTGCATAAAAATGTTTAACACATGGAGCTAAATCTGTCCATGCAAAAAGAATTTTTCTTTAATCAATCTATCTTTCTTATTTTCTATCATATCATTTTTATTTGCTAGATATTGCAATTAGTTAATCTTTTATTAATTGTGGTTACTCATGCTCATTTTTTTTCTTATTTATTTATTTATTTTAAATATATTGATGTGTTACGGAAGATAAATTATTACCAAAGAGTCTAACTCGGTTAAAGTTGAATAGTAAATAAAAACTATCAATAATTAAAATTATGAATAATTAAACATAAATTAAAGTAAATGAAATTATTTAGATATTCTCTCAACAACAACAAAAAAATAATAATAAATCAAGTCTTATTTATTAAACATGAATTGCTATTTTGTGTGAGTGCTTTTAGAAGCTTTTCTTCTATGAAAAAGTTTGTAGAAATTTTTTTAACTTCTTATTTAATTTATTTTTTATTTATCAAAATTATTTATGAATTAAATATTAATATTTTAAAATAAATTATTAATAAATAAAAAATAATTTATACTAAAATATAAATTATTTATCATAAATATAAATATAATTTATATATTTAAAAATATAAATTATTATAAATTTTAATTATATAATAAATATATTTATGCGTAAATCCTCAATTCCATAATTTTGTTACAAATAAAAGAGGCTAAATAAATCCAAACAAACAACACATATTTCCAACGTTGTATCTCTTGTAGATTTATCCTTTCATTTCATACCAAAGCCAAAAAAGAGATTATGTTAAAGTACAATATATCAGCGGTCTGTAGGTGATACTCGATAGGCATCGATCATGGGTTCATTGGGTGCTTCATCAATGGAAAGAGATCAATTCCTTCACATGAATGGTGGCGAGGGAGAACGGAGTTATGCAAACAACTCTTCGCTACAAGTATTATATATCTTTTATCTTTATATTAATTTGTTTGTATTTCTTCAATATTCATGTGATCTTACTTATTGCAGAGAAAAATAATGCTTAAAGCCAAACCCATGCTCGAAGAAAACATAACGATGGTGTATCGTGATTCTTCTCCAAAGTGCATGAAAGTGGCAGATTTAGGTTGTTCCGTGGGACCAAATACACTTCTTCTGACATCAAATATTATTGACATTGTTCACACTGCATGCACCCGCTTCAATCCTGAACCACCCACATTCCAATTTTATCTCAATGATTTAATTGGAAACGATTTTAATACCATCTTCAAGTCACTTCCCGATTTCTATACAAGATTGGAAGAAGAAAAGGGACACAAGTTTGGTTCATGCTTTATTAATGCAACCCCTGGATCCTTCTATGGGAGGCTCTTTCCCAATAATTCCATAAACCTTTTTCATTCCTCCAACAGTCTACATTGGCTTTCTCAGGTCAGACAAACTAACTCTTCCTTGTTTTCTATAAGCTGGTTGAGAATTAATTTGACATGTTATGTCAACACTTGTATTTTTGTTTGGTTTGCTTTCAGTTTCTATTGATTTTACTTTTGACTTTTTTATTTTTATTTTGGGATTAAGTAATGGAGGGAAATTACTATTAAAAAATCACATGTTAAAAAAGAATATATAGTAAACAAATCAAACACTCGTAAATAACTGAGTACACAAATTAACTGATACAATGTTATTGCAGTTTAATTAATATTTTTGAATTTAAGTTCTGTACATCATAATTATTAAAATATTTGGAAGAAAAGTTCTGTCCATAATAATTTTAAATAATTGTTTCTGCTAAATGATACTTGTGTTCTTTATAGAAAAAAAATACATATTTTAAATATGCTAGATTGAATTTATTTCACTACAAAAAAAAAAAGTAAATAATGTTTCTTATTAGAAATAATAGTGGTTAAAATCATCATTATTTACATAAATAATGATTGCTTACATCGCCATAATTCTTTTCACTACGTTAATAATGACTTTTTAGATTTAGAATGTGGCAGTTCAAACTACCAAAATTGTATGAAAATAATGAAATAAACAAAGCAAAAAATAATGATAAAATAATATTTTGGTTGTAGGATCCATTGTTGGGGTTGACTAGGGAGACAAAATCACTTAACAAGGGCAACTGTTACATAGTTAGCACAAGCCCTCCAAATGTATACAAAGCTTACCTTAATCAGTTTCAAAAAGACTTTAAATTGTTTCTGAAATCACGTTCGGAAGAACTTGTGTATGGAGGAGCAATGGTCTTGGTGTTTTCCGGCAACACTGGAACTCCTAGAAGAACTTGTTGGGAAATAATTAGTCTAATACTCAATGACATGTTCTTGGAGGTAAATAACAAATTTTCTTTTATTGATTAATGTCTCTTGAAATTAATCATGTCTTTATATTTAAGAATATATTCATGCCGCAGGGTTTGATTGAAGAAGAAAAATTGGATTCCTTTAACATACCAGTGTTTGAACCTACGATTGAGGAAGTAAGGCATGTGATTAAGGAAGAAGGGTCATTCTTTGTTCAAAGATTAGAGATTTGTAACGTGCCTTGGGATGAGTGCATAAATGATGATGGTGGTGATTCTTTTCTTGATGGAAATATAAGAGCCAAAGTCATCACCAAGCACGCAAGAGGCAGTAATGGAGCCTCTCTTGTCCGTAAGTTTTGGTGCACAAGTTGTAAATGAAGTATTCATCAGGTTTCAAAAGAAAATTGTGCAACTTATGGAGGTGGAGAAATTGGAGAGTGGTACATTTGTGATGTCCGTTACAAAACTTGCTTGAAGAGGTTTTTCTCAATGGAAGATCTTAAAAATCCTTTTGTGGATTTGTTTTTGATTTGGTGACTGAAGAAGCTACTCTAGTTCAAGCTTAAAATCTATATATCAGTATGTCACAAATATTAAAAATAATGACTTAAGAGTGTGAGTTAGTACTTAGTAGACAAGTGTAACTCAGTTAGTTGAACATGTGTGCGAGTGTTGTAAACTCTTTTACTATTGAGTTTGATTTTCATGAATAAAAAAAATAACAATGATATAATTTATCATAATATCATATTATACTTTTAGATATATGTTATAATTAATGTTGCACGGTTTATTTGAACTAATTATGAAAAATAGTTAGAAAACCAGAAAGTTTTATCGAATTATTTGGCCTTGTTCAATTTGGGCAATATGTAACCCACTCTATTTACAACATCAGACAAAAAATAAGTGCATAATTTGAAAATTGATGGTTGCAAATTGCAAGAAAAATGATCACTGCAATTTGGCCCAATTGTCCCTCTAGTTTTATCACTACAATTTTTCCTAGTCGTCCCTCGATCTAGTTTGACAAATTGGGACTGCATTAATAATGATGCATCTAGGAAAGAAGACACGAAATATATATATATATATATATGTAATTTTTTTTAATATAATTATTTCATACTGAATTCAGAATTTAAACGGTTAACAACTTAATTAAAAAAAAAAAAAAGGTCGCTATATAACTTATTTCAACTAGTGTAAGTTATATTCGAATATTTTTTGTACAATTTTGTGCTCTCTGTATCTTTTTCCACAAGACAATGGAGTTCAAATTCGTCTCTTTTAAATTTAATGAAATAAAAATCATCAAAAAAATATTTTTCAGATAAATTAAATTTCTATCTACAGTTAGTTTAAAACATCGTAATAAAAAATCAATGATTTTTAAAAAAATATAATTATATAAAAGTTAACAAATTTATTATATATGATAATGTAATTCCTTTTACATTATCAAAACATAAATCATATATCCTCTATTCTCTTTTATAATAAGAAAAAAAATATTTTTTTTTCTGAAATATAAGTAAATTTAAATTATTTTTATCTCATTTGATGATAATTTTTTTAATAAAATACTTCTTTTAACATGTGAGTCTTTAATTTTATATTTTTTAAAAAATATTTATAATTTATGAATATCTTTTATGAATATTGTAAGTTTTGTAAAAAAGAAGAAGAAGAAGTAATGTAAGTAATTAATTTATGAATATGTGAAGTTAATTTATAGTTATAAAGTAGTAGGAAGGGTGTATTTTGTTATACTAATTTAAAATGAAGAAATAGAGGAAAGAGAGGGTTATCGTCCATAAATGATCCAACAATGAGTGTCATTATTATATTATATATCTTGTCGGCAAGGAAATCCTCATCCCCTCATAAAGTGCGCGTCGACTTTCTCTCCCTCCGCCATTAAATCAACACCTTTGACATTTTCCAAAGTCAACCCACTGGAAAAAAAGGATCATTATTTAAATATATAAATAAATAGATAAGCATAGAGATGCCGAAATGCCAACCACACACTCACTCTCTCTCCCTTCAAACTTACTTTTTCAGTTTTCCCTTCTCTCACTACACCTTTTTTATTTTTATACAAAAAATTAAATGGGACACTACCAATACTTTTACATATTTTTTTTTATAACTAAAATTAAATTAATTTATGAAAACTCTCACATCTTATTTTGTTTAAAATGACTTGTTAAAAAAATTGAGAATGTGAATAAGTTGATTAAGAAATGAGGTATTTGAAACAGTGTTGGTTCTCTCACTAGACTTTTTGCAACCACAACACCTTCTTTCTCTCTCTATAAATACAAGTCCATACCCACTCAGTGCACCTTATCATCTCTCTCTACCCAAAAGTCAGCGCCTTCTTTTGTCTTTTCTCTCTCTCAACGCGGACACACCCTGCAGAGTTTGTCTCCACGCTTGTCATGGCGGAAGATTGGGATCTACACGCGGTGGTCAGAGGTTGCTCCACCGTCACCTCCTCCTCTTCCTCCACCACCACCACCTCCGGCTTCGGCTCAGGCTCAGGCTCCTGTTACCTTCACCACCCCGCCGAACCTTCTTCTTCTTCCTCTTCGGCCTTTTCCATCTTCAAGGGTGAAGAAGGAAGCCACGTTTTGTCGCTTTCCGCTTACCCTTTTGAGGCCAGAAGCTCCATTGAAGAGTTGCATGAGCTTTGCAAGCCCTTCTTCTCCAAATCTCAGCCTCTCTCCCCCTTGTCCTCACTCTCTTCTTCTGTTTCGTCTGCGCCACCCAAATCACTTTCAACGCAGCACCAACAGAGGAACAAGCAGCCACACGCAGTCACCACCCCACGATCTAAAAGAAGGTATAAAAATTTGTGCTTGCTTGCTTTTGATACCCCAGAGAAAAAAAAAATAACAAAAAAAGATCTTGGACTTGCCCATGTCATAAAAATCATGTTTTTAAGGTTTTAAATTGTGGTCGTGGGAAATTGTGGACATATATGTTAATAGGGTGACCCAAAAACCTTTATGTTGTGGTTTTGGTGTTTTTTAAAACCTTGGTGGGTGTATTTGTGAGATGTGCTTATGTTTGTTTTGGTCTTTTTTTTTTTTTTTCAGGAAGAATCAGCTTAAGAAGGTTTGTCAAGTGCCAGTGGAGAATCTCTCCTCAGATATATGGGCATGGAGGAAATATGGACAGAAACCCATAAAGGGGTCCCCATATCCAAGGTTAGCCTACAAGATTTTCACTTGCAATCTTCAAAAAATGAGTTGACAATTCATGATTTGGCTATTCTAATTTGATGATCCTTGATTTGAGATTGTGAGAGAATTTGTGCATGGATTATAAAGGTGTTTTAAGGTGTCTATAGTGAAAATTTGCAATTAATTATCACATCCCACTTTATGCTTTAAGTAATCAAATCCAAATTTGTAAAGTTGTGTACTTTATGAAGGTCTAATTGAGGTTGTGGTTTGTAGGGGTTACTATAGATGTAGCAGCTCAAAGGGGTGTTTGGCAAGGAAACAAGTTGAGAGGAACAGATCAGACCCAACAATGTTTATTGTGACATACACTGCTGAGCACAACCACCCTGCTCCTACTCACAGAAACTCCCTTGCTGGTTCCACACGCCAGAAGCCATTCTCTCTCTCAACGCGGACACACCCTGCAGAGTTTGTCTCCACGCTTGTCATGGCGGAAGATTGGGATCTACACGCGGTGGTCAGAGGTTGCTCCACCGTCACCTCCTCCTCTTCCTCCACCACCACCACCTCCGGCTTCGGCTCAGGCTCAGGCTCCTGTTACCTTCACCACCCCGCCGAACCTTCTTCTTCTTCCTCTTCGGCCTTTTCCATCTTCAAGGGTGAAGAAGGAAGCCACGTTTTGTCGCTTTCCGCTTACCCTTTTGAGGCCAGAAGCTCCATTGAAGAGTTGCATGAGCTTTGCAAGCCCTTCTTCTCCAAATCTCAGCCTCTCTCCCCCTTGTCCTCACTCTCTTCTTCTGTTTCGTCTGCGCCACCCAAATCACTTTCAACGCAGCACCAACAGAGGAACAAGCAGCCACACGCAGTCACCACCCCACGATCTAAAAGAAGGTATAAAAATTTGTGCTTGCTTGCTTTTGATACCCCAGAGAAAAAAAAAATAACAAAAAAAGATCTTGGACTTGCCCATGTCATAAAAATCATGTTTTTAAGGTTTTAAATTGTGGTCGTGGGAAATTGTGGACATATATGTTAATAGGGTGACCCAAAAACCTTTATGTTGTGGTTTTGGTGTTTTTTAAAACCTTGGTGGGTGTATTTGTGAGATGTGCTTATGTTTGTTTTGGTCTTTTTTTTTTTTTTTCAGGAAGAATCAGCTTAAGAAGGTTTGTCAAGTGCCAGTGGAGAATCTCTCCTCAGATATATGGGCTATGATAATGGAGTGTGTGTAATATAAGGTATACATATATTGTTACACTGTGAAATTAAAGAGTAAGTAAGATCAATCCAAATTTGTTGTAATTAACTAGGACTCTCTCTATAAAGGACAGATTGATTTGGAGGATTTGTTTTGATCGTATTATTTTGTAGAGAAAAAAAAAAGATAAGCTAATTAAACGATGAAAGGAGAAAAGAAGAAAAATGAAGAGCGCCATGAAATAAAAAGGAAAAAGAAGAAGAAAAAAAAAACAAGTAACGATGATGAATAAAAAGAGAAAGAAAAAAAAATACTTAAATAAAATTTAAAAATGGAAAGAGAAGATATTTAACAATGAGAATAGATACATTCTTCTTTTTATAATCCTGGTTGGCCCGCTCAAATTATATAAATTGGATGAATTTTTTAACTTAAGAGTTGAATTTATCGATTTCAATTTTCAACTAAAATGTTAAGTTCTACATTTTTATATATATATATATATATTTTTTTTTATATTGTTGCTTGTACGAATTACCAATTACGTTTTTTTTTCTGTACACAATGTTTGAAATCAAGGTTTTACTTTAAAAAAATTGAGTTTAGTATTTATTCAGACTTGTTGGTAGTCAAGGTTTTACTTTAAAAAAATTGAGTTTAGTATTTATTCAGAGTTGTTGGTAGTTGTGATGTTGGAAAAAAATCTTTTTCATACGTAATGATATCAAAGTATGGACACACGTAAATACAATACAAATATAAAATAACTAATACACGAGTCTTATGTAATTTGACACCTTTTATCCATGTTTATGAAAATATTTTAATAAATATTCATTCATTCAAACACATTATAATTTTTTTTTTTATAAATTTGAAAAACCCTCCCATTTCAAAAACTCCCTCTCACATGTTGTGATGACCCCCTTCCTCTCGTTGGCTAGTGATCCCTTTCTCTCAATCACAAGTAGGAGTGTGTGACACACACACGTTATAATAAAATTACTTAAATTTATTTCTTAAAATATATAACATGAATTAAGTGAAAATATGATATTAGTTAAATTTCTTTTATTTAAAATTTTGATATTAAAATAATATAATTTTTTTTAACTTTTATTGTTGACTTGTGGGATTAAATTATTTTAGTTTATTAATTTTTTTTAAAACTTATGAAATTTAAGTACTTTAATATTTAAATTTAGTTTTTAAATTAAAATTTTTTATTAATAAAATTGTGTATAATATTTGAATAATTTAAGTTTTGATTTTTAAACTATTATTTTAAAAAAAATTATTAGAAAAAAATATTATCAAAATATTTTTTAAAAATCATTTTTAATTATAATTTTTAAAATAAATATACATAAAATCCACAAATATTTTAAAAAAAATATATACAAATATCCATTTAATGAATATCCATTAAAAATGAATACAAAACTAATACAAGTACTACCCGTCCGTTGACTTCCTAACTTAAATAAAATTTAAAAATGGAAAGAGAAGATATTTAACAATGAGAATAGATACATTCTTCTTTTTATAATCCTGGTTGGCCCGCTCAAATTATATAAATTGGATGAATTTTTTAACTTAAGAGTTGAATTTATCGATTTCAATTTTCAACTAAAATGTTAAGTTCTACATTTTTATATATATATATATATATTTTTTTTTATATTGTTGCTTGTACGAATTACCAATTACGTTTTTTTTTCTGTACACAATGTTTGAAATCAAGGTTTTACTTTAAAAAAATTGAGTTTAGTATTTATTCAGACTTGTTGGTAGTCAAGGTTTTACTTTAAAAAAATTGAGTTTAGTATTTATTCAGAGTTGTTGGTAGTTGTGATGTTGGAAAAAAATCTTTTTCATACGTAATGATATCAAAGTATGGACACACGTAAATACAATACAAATATAAAATAACTAATACACGAGTCTTATGTAATTTGACACCTTTTATCCATGTTTATGAAAATATTTTAATAAATATTCATTCATTCAAACACATTATAATTTTTTTTTTTATAAATTTGAAAAACCCTCCCATTTCAAAAACTCCCTCTCACATGTTGTGATGACCCCCTTCCTCTCGTTGGCTAGTGATCCCTTTCTCTCAATCACAAGTAGGAGTGTGTGACACACACACGTTATAATAAAATTACTTAAATTTATTTCTTAAAATATATAACATGAATTAAGTGAAAATATGATATTAGTTAAATTTCTTTTATTTAAAATTTTGATATTAAAATAATATAATTTTTTTTAACTTTTATTGTTGACTTGTGGGATTAAATTATTTTAGTTTATTAATTTTTTTTAAAACTTATGAAATTTAAGTACTTTAATATTTAAATTTAGTTTTTAAATTAAAATTTTTTATTAATAAAATTGTGTATAATATTTGAATAATTTAAGTTTTGATTTTTAAACTATTATTTTAAAAAAAATTATTAGAAAAAAATATTATCAAAATATTTTTTAAAAATCATTTTTAATTATAATTTTTAAAATAAATATACATAAAATCCACAAATATTTTAAAAAAAATATATACAAATATCCATTTAATGAATATCCATTAAAAATGAATACAAAACTAATACAAGTACTACCCGTCCGTTGACTTCCTAATTAATAATTATTAACATGTAAAATCTGCGAAACATTGTTATTTTATTATTAGATTTTAGAATAATTGCATTTAGGGACGCCTATTCAGGGACTTGTTGGGAATTTTGAGATGGCTGCTGTTCCGATTCCCAGTCTGCAACTATGTTGGTTTGCAGCCTAATTTGAAAATTGATCATTTCAATTAAAGCTTGACCATGCAGTCTTGTCTGAAATTAAATACATTATCCAAAAGGGTCTATAAATACTCTAAACTTAGATTGGAAAAAAAGCAGAAGCAACAGATAGAAGGAGAAAGCTCTCTTGGCTGGTTAGAGAGGAGGACTCAGTTTGTAAGACTTTCTCATCCTTTCTTGCTTAATGCTGTGCATTATGTTTGTTTGAACTATTTCTGAAATCAACATCTCAAAATGTTGTTTCAAAACACAAATATGATGTTTAAAAATAAACAGTTAGTTTCCAATGCTTTATGATTTGTACTTTTCTATATTTTTGTTATCATTAAAGTAAAATAATATTGATAATTTAATTTTATATAATATTTTTTTTCTAATTTTATCAATTTATTCTTTATTGAGGGATAAATAATTAATGTTGAAAGAGATAACTTTAATACAGTTAAAATCTTGATGGAGATTAATTTTCCACAAAGTTGGGAGATATTCTTACTAATACAATAGTATAAATAAAATAAATAAATTTAATTTTTTACCAATTTAATCTTAACTTAAAAGAAGCATTAAATCTAATAAAAATAAAATTTACTAAACAACTTTTACTTTATTTTTAAAGCTTTTAATTTTAGCTGACTTTAAAGTAGTTTTTAAGTCTAAAATAAGTCAACCCAAACATAAAGTAGTTTTTAAGTCTAAAATAAGCTAACTTTGAAGTAGTTGTGTTAAGTCTAACATTTTTATAATTTGTTTATTTATTTTCACTTATGCTTTCACTCATTTAAGTTAGTAGTAAATTCTCCCCCCTTTTATTTATATTCATCCAAACATCTTTTCTACTCTCTATTTCTGCATTAGTTTTATCCTTTCTATGACATACAAATGATGATGAAACTAATGTTGAAGTGTGATATATCAACAGTTGGTGCGTTATACTTGATAAATATTAATCGATCATTATGGGTTCATCGGGTGCTTCATCAATGGAAAGAGATCAATTCCTTCACATGAATGGTGGCGAGGGAGAAAGGAGTTATGCAAACAACTCCTCGCTACAAGTATTATCTTTTAATATATATATTAATTTGTTTGTTTTGCTTCTTTATATATAATGATCTAACTTTGATTTTATTAATTGCATGCAGAGAAAATTAATGCTGAAAGCCAAGCCCATACTTGAAGAAACTATAAGGAAACTATATCGTGATTATTCTCCCACGTGCATGAAAGTGGCAGATTTAGGTTGCTCCGTGGGATCAAATACACTTCTTGTGACATCAAATATTATTGACATAGTTGACACCACATGCACCAGCTTGAATTGTGAACTACCCACATTCCAATTTTATCTCAATGATTTATTTGGAAATGATTTCAATACCATCTTCAAGTCACTTCCTGATTTCTATACAAGATTGGAAGAAGAAAAAGGGCACAAGTTTGGTTCGTGCTTTATTAATGCCACTCCTGGATCCTTCCATGGGAGGCTCTTTCCCAATAATTCCATTAACTTTTTTCATTCAGCCAACAGTCTACACTGGCTCTCTCAGGTCAAATAAACTATTTCTTTATCTTTTTGTTCTTTTTTCCTCTAATTCAGATCAAAGTTATGATCAAAATTAATAAGCCATGCACCAATAGTCTACCTATCATCCAGTTACAAATTACTATGGATTTGTTGGGATAAATTCTTTCAAAAGCGCTTATAGAAGAGAAAATATGAAACGAAAAAATTAACTATTTCATAACTTAAAATTAGTTCATAATATGTTAATTTTAAGAATTTTTTTAATTAATTTCTCAAAAAAATTATTTTTAAAATATACAAATTTAATTTTAATTTATGGAAAAATTTATTTTAATTTTTATCTTTAATTTTATTTCCTAAAAATACTTGTAAAAAAATTTATCCAAATAAAAACTTGTTAATTGACTTTTACAATAATAACCTTAAAAGATATATGAATATTGATTGTGATGATTGATTGACAATGTAAAAGTGTTAATGGATACTTATTATACTCATTAAAAAAAATGGTAATGAAACTCAAAGTAAAGATAAAAAAAAAAGTTATTTTTATAATTACTAGTAAAAATATACATGTTAAAAATGAAAATAGTGAAAAATCCAAATTACCTTCCTAAATAAGTGAGTTTATATATTTATCATATTATGGTTATAGGATCCATTATTGGGGTTGACTAAGGAGATTAAATCACTTAACAAGGGCAACTGCCACATAGTTAGCACAAGCCCTCCAGCAATATACAAAGCTTACCTTAAGCAGTTTCAAGAAGGTTTTAGATTGTTTCTAAAATCACGTTCAGAGGAACTTGTGCCTGGAGGAGCAATGGTCTTGGTGCTTCCTTGCACTTGTAAAAATGAAACTCTTTCAAAAAGCCTGTGGGAAGTAATTAGCTTAACACTGAGTGACATGCTCTTGGAGGTAAATACTAAATATTTTTTTTATTAATTAATTACCAATCGACTTCTCTTAAAATTAATTATTTAAAATATAACACATTATAATTAAGACTAAGGTATACAATGCAGGGTTTGATTGAAGAAGCAAAATTGGACTCCTTTAACATACCAACTTATGAACCTACGATTGAGGAAATTAAGAATGTGATTCAGGAAGAAGAGTCACTGTTTCTTCAAAGATTTGAGATTTTCACTGTGCCTAGGGATCAGGGTATAAATGAATGTGATGATGATTCTTTCCTTGACGGAAATAGAAGAGCTGAATTCATAGCCACATACACAAGAGCTGCAATGGAGTCTCTCTTATCTGCAAAATTTGGTGCACAAGTTATAGATGAAATATTTATCAGGTTTCAGAAGAAACTTGTGCAACTAATGGAGGTGGAGAAATTTGAGACTGCTAATTTGATTATATCCATGACAAAAATGGCTTGAAGAAGGGTTGCTCAATAGAAGATCATCTTAAAAAGTAGTTTTTGCTTTTGTGATTTTGTTTTGATTTGGTGAAATAAATTCAAGGAGTAGATGATGCTCCTCTTAATATTTGTTGAAGCTTAAGATCTGTATGATGATCAGTATGTCGTATATCTTAATAATGACTTATAATAGTACTTGGATATTTTTCCACTTGAAAAATTATTATTATCAGTGAAATAAAAAACTTATGTTTCGATTTGAGGCCCTGCCCCATTAATCGTAGTCTGTCTGGTTAGAAAGCATGTCAATTCAATGTCTAGACATGCAGAAAACACAACTCAGAATTTTAAGTACACTGTTATAAATAAATAAAAAAACTATTTTTAAATACATGTTGTATATAACACACGACTATTTAAATCACTGAACAGTGAATCAATAGGATCAGGCAATATACACAAAGTATTAATTTTCAAATTTGATGTTTTCATTGTAATTTTTATTTATCAAAAAAAAAAAAAACACTGAACAGTTGGCAGCTAAAATCTTTATGAGCATTTCGGAAATAATGAATTGCATATATTAATAGGTCAATCGTGATATAAAAACCTCAAGTTCAACATTACGAGATAGGAAAAATATTTTTTTGACACCTAAAATGCTATTAGACTTCGTGTAAGAGAAATGTTGTTTTAGATGAATAATATGATATTGTGATATGAAGAAAAATAAAAAAATAATGAAAAATGTTGATAGAGTGTTAAAAAAAAAGGAGGTCTCCAAAAATTATTATTCTAATGATAACGAGATATGTCATTATGTACATGTATAGTTGTATGTGATAGGGGGAAACAACAACAGAATAATTAAGAGTATCAAAGTATGCAGCGGAAATAATTTCCCCAACTTTCAAAAATTAACGAGGAGCAACAAAATAAATAAATGGCAAAAAATAATCACAAAGAGACACAAATATTTTTAACGTGGGAAAACTCTCTCAATGTGAGAAGTAAAAACTCACGGGCACAAGTCAATCAATCAAGCTCCACTATGATCAAATTAGGGTACAAGAGAGTCTAATAAAATGCATAAACAAATGCTTACAACCAACCGATATATTAAAGCAACAAACTTTCCAACTGAAGAATAAAGAAGAAAAAACCTCAAATTAGAACAATTGTACAAAATTGTTTTCTCTAACCAAAAACTTCCAATCCACGATCCCAACGGTCAAAACCGAAGATCACCGTGTTAAGAACCTGCTGTCAAATTTCCAGCCCAATCCAACGGTAAACGAAGTGGGGATCGCAATTTTACTAAAACTGCACTGTGCGTGGGAACCAAATTTTTGCTCTCTTTCTCTCTTCTTTCTCTCCCTGATGACTGTGTAATTTTCTTTCTCTCTTATTCCTAAGAGACCCCTCTCCACTTGGTTTTTAAGTGAGACAAAATTTGGGCTTCTCAATTTTGGGTCTTTTCTTCACATAGGAAGGGAGTCCAATACCCAACAAATCTCTCCCTCACAACTATGTGGAGATAACGGCCAAACCGGCGATCTCACAGCAAACTTCAAATTTTCCTCTTGGCAATGCTTTAGTCATCATATCAGCACCATTATCATCAGTATGAATTTTAGCCAACTCCAACAGCATAGCATCCAAAGCATCACGTATCCAATGATACCTTACATCAATATGTTTGGACCTAGAATGGAAAGTTGGATTCTTGCCAAGATGGATAACACTTTGACTATCAACAAATAAAGGGTATTTGTCCTGCACAAAACCAAGTTCCTGCAAGAATTTCTTCAACCATAGCAACTCCTTGCATGCTTTAGTAATAGCAATGAAATCTGCCTCTGTAGTAGATAATGCTACACACCTCTGTAGCCTTGATTGCCAAGCTACAGCTCCCCCTGCAAAGTTAATCAAATAGCCCGAAGTGGACTTTCTGGAATCAACATCTCCAGCCATATCTGAGTCTGAGTAACCCAACAAAGTAGGCTTATCTCCTCCAAAACAAAGCCTTAAACCACTAGTACCATGAAGATACCTCAAAATCCATTTCACAGCATTCCAATGCTCTCTACCTGGATTTGATAAGAATCGACTTACTGTACCAACAACATATGCAATATCTGGTCTTGTACATACCATTGCATACATCAAACTACCCACCGCAGATGCATAAGGAACTCTGCTCATATATGTCTTCTCAGCTTCATTTGAAGGACTTTGCTCAACACTCAATTTAAAATGAGCTGCAAGAGGAGTGCTTACTGCTTTAGAATTTTCCATCTGGATATCCGGAATCTCTGTAATACCTTCTTAATGTAGTGCTCCTGTGATAGCCAAAGCTTCTTCTCTTTTCTATCACGTGTGATACTAATACCAAGAATCTTTTTAGTAGCTCCCAAGTCTTTCATGGCAAATGACTCGCCCAGTTGCTTCTTTAACCTGTCAATCCTGGAAACATCTTTCCCAACAATAAGCATGTCATCAACATACAATAACAGGATAATAAAGTCATCATCATAAAACTTTATAACAAAGACACAATGATCAAAAGTAGTCTTCTTGTAGCCTTGCTCACACATAAAAGACTCAAATTTCTTATACCACTGTCTTGGAGCCTGCTTCAAACCATATAGGTTTTTTCTCAACCTACACACATAGTCTTCCTTGCCTTCAACAAGAAAATCATCGGGTTGTTTCATGTAAATCTCTTCCTCCAAATTACCATGAAGGAAAGTTGTCTTCACATCCATCTGCTCAACCTCTAAATCAAGAGTAACAACTAAACTTAATACAGTTCTAATGGATGACATCTTCACCACAAGTGAGAAAATCTCATTGAAACCAACACCCTTTCTCTGTCTAAACTCTTTCACCACTAATATGGCTTTGTACCTCGGAGATGTAGAATTACTTTCTTGTTTTACCCTGAAAATCCACCTATTCTCTAAGGCCCTCTTGCCCTTAGGCAATTTCACCAAGTGATAAGTGTGATTATCATGCAAGGATTTCATCTCATCTTGCATTGCATCCAACCACTGTTGCTTTTCTTCACTTTCCAAAGCCTCTTCAAAACACTCAGGTTCACCTCCATCAGTCAAGGTCACATACTCATTAGAAGAATACCTGGAAGACGAGTGTCTCAACCTATTAGACCTCCTAGGAGGGAGTTGTGGTAATTCATGATCATTATCAAGATCATCATCATGTACCATATCATGTTTCTCTTGAGCATCATTAAAAGGAACTTCTAATACATCTCCATTCTATTGATCATCAACATCACCATGTTGCTCATCATTCGAAGCATCAGTCTCAACATTATCTAGATTGTGAACAGGCAACCGCATGAGATTACCATCAGTCAAATTATTATCTTTCTCGAGTGTAGTCTTTTCCACCTTGTTAATATCTTCAATGGTTTGGTCTTCCATGAACTGCACATCACATAGGAAGGGAGCTCAATACCTAATAGTATACTATAACTTTAAAATTAAAAATTAGTTATTCATTTGATTCTCATAGTTACACAAATTTTATTTTTTAAACTCTATACTTATTAAAAATAATTTGTTTTGATTTATATACAAACTCTTTTAGTTTCTTTTTAGTCTATTCATTAAAAAAAGTTAATGTGGTTAATAATGAATAATGTGGCACAATAAGTGACATGATATTGATATGTGTTTCACTTTATGTTTTACTCACTATATTTTTACATTTTAACTTCTATATTTAAACAACTTTTATTTTTTACTCCTTACACTTAAAAGATACTATAATATTGAGTATTTTTTTAGTCTATCTCAATTTTTAGTAAATATATTATGTGAACATTTATATATATATATATATATATATATCGGTCCTTTCAATTTTTTTATATTTTAATTCTTTTAATTTTTTATATTTTAGTACTTAAAGTTAGTGAGAAAGAGAAAAACCAGTGTACAAAAGGAAGAAAACCCTAATACTTGGTTTGGTAGCAATGATTCAAGTGGAGGGGGAGGGAGGGAACTAGTCAGATTTGTGAAGAATTGTGAAGATGTTGAATTTTGTGTCTGGTTTCTGACGAATGAAATGCAAAGAAAGGAAGGTAACTTCTTGCGGAGACCCACACAATTTTTATGATCACCAGGTGAAATGAAAAGATTTGTGAAGATTTAAGTTATTTTACCATTTTAGTCTTTTTATATGTATTTTTTCACGTGGGAATTGCAAGTTATTATGCACTCAAGGGAGTTTCCTGTCCATATAATTCACCATGGTTATTACATAGTCGATTATATGAACCTCTCTTACATTTTTCATGTTTATTGAAAATCTATATAATCAATTATATGTTCATCATAATGGATTACATAAATTCATTAAAAATAATTAATATCAAAATCAACAATTTTTCTATAACGGTATTTTAATAAATCAAAATATAATATATTTTAACTTATTTATTTAATCTAATGTAAACCAATAAAAAAATTAATCTTCCTTCCAATGTATTATTTTTCTCTTATTAAAAAATTTCAATATTTATTTATTTTACTTATTTGTCTTTTCTTCTTTTCTCACCTTTTCTATCTACTTCTTTATATTTTCATTTTTACCTTTTTCTATTTACTTTTTATACTTCCATCCTCACATTCAAATACATAGGAAAAGAAGAGAAAAAGAAAGAATAACAAAGTGGAAAAGTGAGACCTTATCAAATTGAGTAATTATTTTTTTTAAACACTTCACATTTTTAATAATTAAACACTTTAAATTTCTCTTTTTCTATCTTTTTCTATCAAATTATATCACATGTCGTATTTATATTATTATTTTTATCCATCCCCTATCATATTTATATATTTCTTTTTATCTATCTCCTATCATATTTATATTATTATTTTTATCTATCTCTCACTAAGTGTTCAATAACATCTTGAATAGTGTTGAATAGCATCTTGAGTGTCCAACTATATTTTTCCTTTTCAAATCATGTTAGAACTTCACGTATTTTGATTAGAAATTAATGCGTGTGTTCTCCGTGTTGAATAGGAGATAGAAGAATTTGGTGGTAGTACTAACGATCAAGGGTAGAGTGTTGGAGGATAAAATTGATAAAAGGCACTTTCTATGATGCGCCTATTGAACAAATGCACCTAATGTACCATGCATGGATGGTCATGTGTCTGTTAGATCATAAAAATAAAAATAAAAAAACACACACACATATGGAATTAAAATGTGCTACAGTAACCCAATATCTTATTTTCGTTTACGTCAAAATTTCTATTAAATTCCCAGTTAAATCTCCATTGAAAATTGAGAGGAATAAACACACTTTCATCTCATGCGTATTTATTTAAGGTTAAATTATATTTTTAATTTTTAGTTTTTTATATTAAAATATTTATTTTGATCTTTTATTTTTTTATATTTAAATCAATTTGATTTTTTTTAAAATAATGGTTATTTTTTGTTTTATGACATAATTTTTAATTAGTTTTAACTAATTCAAGATATGAAACTTGTAATATTATATTAATTATGTGAAAATCATGAAATACAATTCACATTCGAATTTAAAATGACTATAAACATATTGAAAATTATGTGAAAAAAATATATATCTCATAAACAACTAAAATAAGTATGAAATTAAAATTTTTAAAATTTTGTATTTTCATTATATATATATATATATGAGGAGGGTTCAAATGATACCGGTGTAACTTTAACTAAGTGTTACACCGCTCAATAATTTTATATTAATTGTGAATTTTGTAAATCCAACCGTTAAATTGAAAGTTCATATCACTTTATATGTGTATATCAAATTTGTTAAAATTGAACAACAACTTGAGGGTTATCAAAGTGTTCATATTTTAGTATATTTTGAAATAAATATATTACGTCAATTTTGTTTTATAAAGATGAAGTATCAAATCATCTTGGATTAATATAAAATTTTGTATATATGATCTAAGGGATATAAACTTTTAATCTAACGGTTAGATTTACAAAATTCACAATTAATATAAAGTTATTGAGCGGTGTAACACTTAGTTAAAGTTACACCGGTGTCATTTGAACCCTCCTTATATATATATATATATATATATATATATCACTTTTAATTTGAACTTTAATTGTGTAACAACTTATTAGGTCTCATACAATCTATAGCGTCAGGGGGAAATACTATCATGTTTTTTCCTTATCATACATAATGCATAAAATAACACATCATAATTAAACCGTTATATACATATTAGGAAATAACAACTAATGTCCCATATACATATATATGATTGATAATGTAATGTAATATTCTATACAAAATGATTGACAGCTTACAATAAAATTTTCACAACAAAAAGTCTCAACTCTCCTACTGAGTCTCATCAGCATTTGTTAACCTATCATAGCACGACCTAATCTCGATCTGCTCGCATACAATGTGTAGTCATGGCAGTCCCAATCCACAAGGGAAAACATGTTAGGGTAAACTCATAATAATAATCATCATAAAACAGCGTCAACATATAATGAACAACAATAAAATTCAACACTCAACTTTACATCTTTCAACTTTAAAACAACAACATAGACAACAATAAATATACAATATCATCTAATGCATCGTTATGCATATACAACTAGGAGATCTCTAAAAACTGAGGTTGAGCAGTCTAGGTGGCATAAGAATCTAGTGTTAGACCTATCTCAACCAGGTCAGGTATAGGGCGTCGTTAGGAACTCCGAAGAGAACTAAGTATATACAACAATAGTTGATTGTTTGAGTGTGCCACTTAGACTCGGAAGTCCAATACTACTGTCAAGGCATAAGGGTTGGGGTATGAGCCTACCATAGCCTTGGCTTGCATCACCAATCCACATATGGAGTTAGCCCACCCACTACCCTCCAAGTACCATGCACCCTTTAATACCTAGTCAAAAACTACATCTCTGACTAGATATCTTACTCAAATTGGTCATTCAACCATAAGATGGATCGACTACTTCCATGTTGTCCACAAAGTATCAAGGGATTCAACTTTAAAAACAACTTTCAACTTATCACCTTAGTACTATGTATCTCAACATAGGACTTGTATCTTTACCTTAAGTCCCCAACTTTACAACTATACAACAATAGGCATCATAATAACATCTTGTATAAACAACTTGAACAATTATAGGCATCATATTACAACTTCAATAAAAAATTTAGCAACATAGGAACTTGCAATTTTAAATTAACTTACACAACATAAATCAACTTAAACACCCAAAACAACTTTTAACTTAATCAAATCACTTATTGTGAAATGACAACCTTCACATAAAACAACACATATGAAGTCATACAACTCCTATCATGCTCATCCTTATCTCATATGAAAGACAAGAAGATTTCTTACAACTCTCATGAAGATATCAAGTCCTAATTCCATGATTTACCTTGTTAAAAAGTGTAAAAACCGCAACAATTAGCCTAAATCTTGACAACTTGACATTTGTTCACTAAAAAGGTCATAACTGAAGTTCTAGACCTCCTTTTTGGGTGATTATAGTGCCATTAGAAAGTTAACATCCAAGGCTACAACTTTCATAAAGGTCATAAAGTCAAATTCAAAAAGCACCAAACCGCTCAGCACCTCCAAAGTGCTCAACACTTTACCTCCAGGGATTCTTCCTATCACGTGGCCCCTAAAGGACTCAGTCTTTCCAAAAGCGCTCAGCTATTTTCATTGGCTCAGCCCTTTGCCTCCAAGGATCCTCCCATGTCACGCGATCCCCAAAAGATCCAGCCCTTTTAAATGGCTTAGCTGTTTGATGATAGAGGGCATCTAGGTTTTTTACCAGTTTTGAAATTTTCATCAATCACTTGAAAATCTAAGGCAACCCAACACATGCAACTACAAGAATGCAACATTACCATCAATAAACAACATATGAACAACAAGAACAGCTACATGCAACCATCCATTCAACTCAATCATCTTTTTTTTCTTCTCAAAACAACAAAAACCCAACTTTTTCAACTCAAATCCTCAAGTTAATCCACACAGCTACATTTCAACAAAATTAAGTTCAACATTTCATTCTATTCAAATTGATCCAAACTAATAAGATGCGAAGCTTTCCTAACCTGAAAATTAAAATCTCCAGAAAGAAAGAAAAGCACGGAGAAAAAGAGAGCAATCAAGACTTTTAGGAACTAAAGTTTCCTTCTTACAACACCAATACACAACTCTTTAGCCTTTGTGAAAGAAAAAGAAGAGAAACCCAAAAGAATCAAATGCAAGGAAGATTAAGAAGTATAGGAGCGCAGAACAAAAAAAAACAATACGGGACATTACAAATTACAATTAATAATTATTAAATAATTATAAAGAGACAAATTTCAAGTCCTAAATTAATTAAAAGAGAATTAAAAAAGATTAAATTGATATAAATTAAATAAATAAATGATGAAAATAAATATTTTAAAATATAAATGATCAAAATAAAGTGAAAGTTAAGATGAAAGAAAAAATATAATATATTCATTATTCAATTGATCATTTGTTTTTTCCTCCTATTATTTGTGCTGTAGATTAATGATAATAATAATAATTATTATTAAAAAAAAATAAAAGAAGGAGTTTGGCGAAGGGAAAATTGCATTGATAAGAAAACGCAGGCAGGGATAGATTCGAAGGCGAGATCCAGCAGAAATTGCAGTGCGCGCAGCTTCACCCAATCACAGATTTAACAGCAACGATTCAAATCTCCTTCTCCTTCTTTTGGTTCCAACCATGTGGGGCACAATCGCCAACTTGAAGGAGAACTTGAACAAGATTGCTCTCGACGTTCACTACGCCGACGACGACGACGACGACGACGACGCCGTTTTCACCGCCGCCGTCTCCGATCGACGCAATTCTCACAGCTTTGCGCATTCCAAGTCGCTTCCTAGGTCGCCCCCGCCCAACGGAACATCAGATCACCCCTACGCTTCGGAGGTATCTTGTCCTCAAATTCGCTGCGATTTTTGCCTTTATTTGTTTTTGCGATACGACGATTCGAATGTTAGCTAGCGATTTGCGATTCTGAATAATGCTTAGCGAGTTTTTTAATCCAAATCTTAATTGAGAGTGGAAGCAGAATAACAAAATCATTGCGTTTAATTTAGGAGTGGTGTTACCCTATGTGTAACCTCGTTTGGATAATTTGAAAGACTATTTTGAATTGTTAATAACTACTCTTCAGCATGAAGTTATGAACGGAATATCTTTGAACGCGCTCAAGTCGAGCTCTGGCTGTGTACCTGCAAAGACTCTGACATTCAAGTCATTATAATGGGATTTAGCTCAGTTGGTTTAGCAAGTTGCATAAGTTGTTGTAAACTTGTTAATATCGAGTTTGATTTCTATGGATAAAAAGTGAATGAAAAAGGTTAGAGAGTACTTCATATCCTATGGGACATATAGTATATTTATTCCGCTCCTTAATTGGTTATTATCACTATCTTTCGGTAAGGTGGTGTGGAAATGCCTTGAAATCCAGAGGATGGATTGTTGGTCGTTGGGCCAAAGCATTGGCTTGCTTGCCAAACTGGGCCCAATTTCTCTAAAGAGGGTTCCATAACAATTATCAACGACATATTAAAACAACTGGCTACAGAAATGATATTATCAAATGCAAAAGTTCTCACATTTCTCAGTCCTGATTTCTGCATAATTTGTAGATTTAATTCTCCATCTTGTTCACATGTTTTTTTTTTTTTCATTTCTCGTCAGCATCTTATCTATGGAATAAATTATTGGCCATTTTTGGGGAATACTGGGTTTCCTGTGGAGTGTGGACCTTCATAAGCTCCTATGTGTTAATTTCACGGGATTTATTAATAGCAAAGATGCCAAAAGCTTCGGGGTGTTCTTGGGCTGTGGTTCTTTGGTGTATTTGAGTGGAAAGAAATGGTAGAATCTTCTCAAATGGCAATCATCTATGGAGTTCATTTGGGATCAGATAGTTTTTCTAGCTTCTTGGTGTTGTTATGCTCATGGTCTTTTATGAAGGGGTCCTTGTTAGATCTTCTGAGAGGTTGACTAGCTGTGTTGATGTTTCTTGATCCCTTTTATTTCTTTTTGTTTTTAATTGTGTTTTCGTTAGTTCTTTGGGATTTCTTACTCTGTTTGTATATCTTCCTCTTCCATCTTAATAAATCCTTTTCTCATATGAAGAGTAAAAAACACATGCTAGGGCAATTTTGGAGAATTTTCTTTTACCAAATGCATGAAAGTGCAATGTATTCAATTTTTATGGCATATATTTTCCCCCTTGAATTGTCTAGTTGAATATAATAGGTATATTACTGGTTATTAGCCTATTATGGTGAAAGATGTAATTTTTTTTTTAATTTTGTTGTATTTCTTGTAGATAGAACAATATAAAGCTGAAATCAAGAGACTTCAAGCATCTGAGGCAGAAATTAAAGCACTATCTGTTAATTATGCAGCTTTATTAAAAGAGAAAGAGGTATAGCTGATTATTACTTTTCTCAATACCATAGTATGTTGAATTTTCTATTGCTGTTTCTTACGTTGGAGCTACTAAATATTTAATTATTTCAGAGTCAGCTGTTAGCTGGCAATAGGAAATCTTTACATAAATGAACTTTGTTTCTTTTGTTTGTATAAAATAAGGTGAACTCAGCTGTAATACATTGTTTGAAAAATATAAAATATCTATATATTCTGGATTTTTCCCCTAAACCTCTGATCCATTATCCCCCATGCCCAAACAAATGGTTCTTTATTTTCTCAAATATATTGTAGGATTATATTTCATTATATTATCTATCTCAGGCAGAGCAGAGATTGCATAAAGAGTCAATTAACTATTTGTCCAACTTATTAATTTGAGATATTTTATACTAGCCTTTGTTAAGTTTAACTATCCAACTATTCAACTTTACAGGATCATATTGTTAGATTGAATAAAGAAAATGGCTCATTAAAACAGAATTTGGAGGCTACAAGTCCAGCATCTGCAAATGGCGCTTACACAGTCAAGGTAATCCTATATTCTAATTAAAACTTTATTGTAGAGAATTATAGCAGACAATTTTAATTTGAGTACTTCATACCAATCACTCACTACGCAATTAATTTTATTCAAACTTTACATCCCTTCTTGTTCTATAGGCAAATAATTTGAGTGCTTCATACCAATTACTCATATTAATTTTATATTCTTTAGTAACTGTTGGAAATGAGTTTCAGATACTGAGAATTGTTGCACTGAAAGGCTAGGATACAAGATTGCTCAAATTCATGCATATCACTTATTTTATGTACTTAGAGAATTGCATATATTTGCTGTTCTTAAATGTATTTAAATCTGGAATGTGTATAAATACATGCCCTGCTGAGTGCTTTCTTACTTGAGCAACTCATCAAAATATTCAGTCTTCAACTTGGTATCAGAATTGGGTTCTTTAGAAATTTGTATGCTAAGTAAGAACAGAGGACGTTTCCTCTGTAGGAGCTTTGCTTTGTTGATGTGTACTTGTTTTCTGAACTATCATTGGAAACCTTGTACTCGTCATTCCAGTTGCAATAAATTATTTTCTTTCTAGTAGCACCCACTACTGAATCAAGATTCCCATCATAAACAAGGATTCTTGTCGATTACTTTGAATATCTGTGTAGGGACGTAGTGACCAATCATCAACTCGA